CCCCCCCCCCCCCTCCCCCCCGTCGACAAACAGCGCCCAAAAATACAGCTGCTGTTTTGTATAATGCTGCGTTCATACTTTAGTCCACCAGCGTCCACTAGCGTTTCGAGCGTCCGGGCAGCGTCAGCGACTGCAGAAGTGCAGATATCGATCTGGCGTCTACCCGTCCACCAGTGTATGGCCTGGGATATAAGTATCGATCTAGCGTCTACCAGCTACACCAGCGTCCAGGAGAGGAGAGTACATACCAGCGCGATAGGAGGGACCAGCTGTCTGCTACCCTCCTATCGCGCCATACTCTCCTCTCTCAGACGCTGGTGCACGCTTGCAGATGATGGTAGATGCTAGATGGATATCTATAGCTCCCCAGTCGCTGACGCTGGTGGACGCTGTCGCAAAGTATGAACGCAGTCTAAGAACTTTTCGCGCACATTTTCGCATGTGTCTCTGTGGCCTCGCAATTAAATGCACCTTGTAGCACAGAAAATAGGGTGAATGTCTACATAGTTTCTCTTACATTTTTATGTTTTGTGCTTCCTTTGTCCTATTACAGAACAGCATTTGGAATCATTGCTTCGGTTTTGTTGACGTTTTACCCCGAATTTTGCGCTGTGTGCATTTATTTGCGGGAATCCTTTCGCTTTATTTAGGTGAATTCAGGAGTTTCAGGTAGAGTCCCGTCGTCGATGGGTTTCGTTCCTGGACATGCTGGAAATGTTCTGCAGCAAATTTCTACAACTGCTAATCCCATTGAGAATTCTAATGTCTATCGAGGTGTCACTCATCATCCACAACCACCACCTTATAGATGACAAGGGCGCTATGTTCATGTGATAATAAGGTAATGTGCAGTCAGAGCTAGAATTCTTCCTGAAATAACACCAAGTCTTTTTTGTTCGACACAGTGCTGGCTTTTCAAAGATGTGGTTGTGATTATTACCGTTTGTCATTGTTACGTATAATTAAATTCCATCTACTCATATGCGATGTAGTCCTGAACGTACTGCATTGCAAATTGCGACAATCCTTTCATTTATTGGTTGTCGTATCACAGGTAGACTCGAAAATATGCTCTGAGAGTTCGTCTGATAGACTAGTGATGATATTGACTTATATGCTCCTATCATATCTTTGATTTGGACTTATCTTAGAGTTCTAAGAATTCTTGTTTGCACATTATCGAAATAAGTGAACAGTCACTCTTGCTTCGTGTGGATTCTCTCATCGTATGAATGCACGATGTGATTTATTCACATTGCTTCTCTATACGTCGATACTTCGTCGAAGGGTAGAAGTGCTAACGCTGCGAAACATCAACGAATCAAGTTACAGCTACTTTGTCACAGTAGGTGGGTTATACAACGGTACGGCATATGGTCGGACTTTTTTTCAGAATATGGAGTGGTTTTTGTCATACTATCATTCATGTTTTGCTAAAATACCCGGATTCTATGTTGTCACACAAATCACTAGTTCAGTGATAAATTGAAAAAGTATCAGTTAGCAATCCACAAAACAAGTTGTTATTGTAAAAAATTACCGATTCATTAGTATTCGGGGTTTGTACTCTTCTTCATCTTGAAATACGCTGTGCGATTACATGTGGGGTCTTTTCGTGTGCGAGACAAGCAGGTCTAAAGCGACAGAAGTGTTCTTCACCGCCAGGTCTGCGTTCCTGTATTCTGCATTTCGCCTATGGACGCCGCTTGAAGCAGACCACTAACCGGTGGGG